ACCTCCACTCGTTCTCTACGAACTGGTGAGTGGAGCTGATCTATAGGGTCGGGGGGTTGACTAGTTCACACCTGCGAGTCAGCGGGTGACCCACTGTACGTGTGCTCGACGGGCCGACACTTGGCCACGTTTACCCGTCAGCCGGGGTCGAGCCTGTACACACTAACCAATGAGTTTCCTCCTGTTCTTGAGTCTGGTCAGGTAGCTGCGTCGGGTCAGTGTTTGCTGCTGCGTCCAGGTCTGGTCCTGAGTCTGCGCCTGCTCGTGTCGTCTCCTGTCCCACCAGACTCTCCTTTGGAACCACCGCCTTGGTCACCCCTCCCTGCCTCGTCTCCGAGGCATGGCCTCCCTTGTCCTTGTCTCTGTTTTCCCCTATCCCTCCCTCCCCTACCTCCGGGGCCGGTCCCTACCTGCGTCCCCTGCGTCGAGGGCGGCAGCGCGCCGCTCCTCACTCCTCCGAGTTTCCTCCGACAGAGGCTCCTCTGCAGCCTCTTCACATGGACGTGTGGGGCCCTGCCCGCGTCCGTGGACAGGGTCACGAGCGTTAATTCCTGTTGGTGGTTGACGACTACTCGCGTTACACCACAGTGTTCCCCTTGAGCAGCAAGGGTTCCGTCACTGAGGTGCTGATCGACTGGATCCGCGCAGCTCGTCTCCAGCTCAGGAGAGAGTTTTGGCTCAGACTTTCTGTTCTGCGTCTGCACTCTGACAAAGGAGGGGAGTTTTCCTCTGCCCGTCTGGGAGCCTTCTGACGTGCACAGGGCATCCGCCAGACCTCTCCCAGAAAAATGGGATTGCAAAGCGCCGCATTGGCATGGTCATGGACGTCGCTTGTACGTCCATGATCCATGCGGCTGCTCCCCATTTTCTGTGGCCGTTTGCGGTTCAGTACGCGGCGCATCAGCTCAACCTTCAGCCCCGGGTCTCCTTGCCAGAGACCTCCCCCACCTTGCGGTGGACGGGGAAGGTTGGCGATGCGTCTGCGTTTCGGGTCTGGGGATCTCGGGCGTTTGTCCGCGACTTGTCTTCGGACAAGCTGTCCCCTCGTGCTGTTCCGTGCGTCTTCCTTGGCTTCCCCCTTGACGCGCCTGGCTGGCGGTTCTACCACCCCACCTCGCGCCGTGTTTTGTCCTCCCAGGACGTCACCTTTGACGAGTCGGTGCCTTACTACCGTCTCTTCCCCTACCGCACTGCGCGTCCCCCAGCCGCTGCTCTTCCTTGCGCCCGGTCCTAGCCCGGCAGACCCCCTCCTGCTCAGGGTCCTGCCCCGTCAGGTGTGTCCCAGGTAGACGCAGTTGAGCCTGTCAAGGTAGCTGTTGACTCTCGTGCTGCTAGGGGCGCTGCGCCTGCGGTGCCGGGTCTGTGGGTGCGGAGCCTGGGGGTGCTGAGTCTCGGGGTGCTGAGCGTGGGGGTGCGGAGCCTGGGGGTGCTGAGCCTGGGGGTGCGGAGCCTGGGGGTGCGGAGCCTGGGGGTGCTAAGCCTGGGGGTGCGGAGCCTGGGGGAGCTGGGTCTACTCGTGTGGCTTCTGGCGGTGTTTCGTCGAGGTGAGAGCCCCTCTCTCTGCAGGAGCTGCGCGAGTGGTTCGCCCGGCGTTGGAGCCGTGCTGCTGGAGCTAGAGGTACTACTGTTGCTGCTGGTCCTGGAGGTGCTCGTCCTGGCGGCTCTGGAGCTGCTGGGACTGGGAGTCCTGCTGGGGGTGCTACTGGAGCTGGAGCTGCTGGAGCTGGAGCTGGAGCTGCTGGCGGTGCTGGAGCTGACGGTCCTGCTGGAGTTGGTACTACTAGAGCTGCTAGAGCTGGAGCTGCTGGGGGTGTTGGCGCTGGTGGTTCTGCTGGCGCTGGTGCTTCTGAGGGAGCTGGAGTTTGCGCTGTTGGAGCTGGAGGTACTGCTGGCGCTAGTGCTGCCGCTGGGGGTACTGGTGCTGTCCCTGCTAGTTCTGGCGGCACTAAGCGGCCGCGGCCATACTTCGTTCCGCTCCTTGAGCAGGTTCTTGGTCTCCAGCCCTCTACTAATCCTGCTCCTCCCTTCACAGTCTGTCCACTCGCGGTCCACAGTCTGTCCAGTCGCGGTCACAGTTATAGCGTGCCTCCCCCCTGCCTGCTCCTTCTCCCTACACTGGTCCTACTGGAGGTCTTGCTGAGCGTCGTGAGCCTGGGTCTCGTCCTACGTCGCCTGTTCGTGCTGCTCGCACTAGTGGTCGTGCTCCGCGTCCGCGTCCTCCTGCGGTCCCCGTCACACACCAGATGGCACTGCGTCCTTCCACTGCTCCTTTGCGTGCCTCGTTGCCGTCTCCTCCAGAGTCCTCTCTTCCTACTCTTGCTGACCCGGAGTCTGACTCTCTTCGTTCTGCCAGTGCTACTGTTACGCGTCTCCTGGCTACTGTTATCACTGACCCTTCGTTTGAGTCCACTGCTGCGTCTGCCTTAGTTGCTGAGCTTGTCAACTTTGATGCTCACTGTCGTCTAGACTACGCTGCTAGTCTTGTTGCTGAGTTTGAGTCTCTCCGTCCTCCGTCCGTCGGGGGTGAGTGTGCTCTTAGCACAGACGTCCTTGAGGACAGGCAGGAGGAGTTCCAGTGTTTTTCTGCTGCCTTGCCTCATCTCGTGTCCACGCTGATTGCCCCTGAGGGAGATCCGGATGCACCAGACATCCCGACTCCTCAATCGTACGCTGAGGCGATCAAGGGTCCCTACTACTCACAGTGGAAGTCAGCCATGGACGCAGAGATGGCTTCTTGGAAGTCCACAGGCACCTACGTCGACGAGGTTCCCCCACCTAGGGCGAACATCGTCAGTGGCATGTGGATTTTCAGGGGTTCTCCGCCTGTCTTCAAGGCGCGTTATGTGGCTCGAGGCTTCAGTCAGCGGCAGGGAGTTGACTACTTTCTGACCTTCTCTCCCACCCCGAAGATGACCACTCTTCGGGTGCTGCTGCAGATAGCCGCCAGCGCGACTACGAGCTTCACTCACTTGACTTCAGCACAGCTTTCCTGCAAGGCAGCCTGCACGAGGAGATCTAGCTGCGCCGCCCACCTGGCTTCACTGGGTCGTTCCCTCTTGGTACCTAGTGGAGCCTCCGGCGGCCAGTCTACGGTCTCCGCAAGGCGCCGTGTGAGTGGCACGACACACCGAGGACTACACTTGCGGCTCTTGGGTTTGCTCCTTCTTCTGCAGACCCGTTGCTGTTTCTGCGCACCGACACCTCTTTGCCGCCGTTCTACATCCTCGTGTACGTCGACGACTTGGTCTTCGCCACTGCTGACACTGCTGGACTCGCCTACGTGAAGTCCGAGCTGCAGAAGAGACACACGTGCACAGACCTGGGTGAATTGCGTAGCTACGTTGGCTTGCAGATCACCCACTACCCTGACTCAGTCACACATGGTGCAGCAGGTCCTTCAGCGCTTCGGCTTCACGTTCTCCTTGCCTCAGGCCACTCCTCTGCCTACTCGCCACTCGCTCTCAGCTTTGCCTTCGGATGAGTCTGTAGAGCCGAGTGGCCCGCAACCAGAGCTTGTTGGCTGCCTCATGTACCTGATGACCTGCACACGACCTAACCTAGCATACCCTCTTAGCATCTTGGCACGCTATGTGGCTCCTGGGAGACACCGACTAGAGCACATGGCTGTAGCGAAGAGGGTGTTGCGCTACTTGTGCAGTACATCGGGCATGGGGCTAGTTCTTGGAGGGCGACGTCCAGTGGTCCTCACTGGGCACGCAGACGCTTCTTGGGCTGACGACCAGGCTACGCAGCGGTTGTCAGAGGGTTACACCTTCAGCCTTGGTTCCGGCTCTGTCTCGTGGCGGTCTACCCGCTCGTCTTCTGTTCTCGGCTCCAGCTATGAGGCCGAGATCTACGCAGGGGCCATGGCTGCACAGGAGCTACGCTGGCTCACCTACCTACTGACTGACCTTGGAGAGCAGCCTCGTTCTCCTCCATTTCTGTACGTAGACAACAAGGCCATGCTGGCCTTGTGTCGGGAGCACAGACTGGAGCGCAGAACGAAGCACATTGCTCTTCGCTACTTCCTTGCTCGTGAGCTGCTGCAGCGCGGTTAGCTGTGGCTTGCTTACGTGGCCTTTGAGGCCAACACTGCTGATATCTTAACCAAGGAACTTCCGCCTTGTGATCATCAGCGCTTGTGTAATTTGCTAGGTCTTGTGCCTACTTGGCCTCACTTGCTCACCTCTTGTCTTTGTTTGTACTGTGATCTATATATACCTGCACTTGCATGCATACTCTTGCTAGGTTGTGATCATCGCCTTGCTTGTTCTTCTTGATGTATAACTCTACTTGTGAACTGGCCTTGTGGCCTTGTGCTTGTGCTCAGATTGTGTGGTGACATTGTGATCCACCCTGGGCTTGCCTTGCTTCTCTTGACTGGTCTTGTGACCCCTTGTTCTCCCCCACTTTGCCTATGGGGGTGTGTTGAACTATATGTGCTATAGTCTGTTTAGGCTGTAGTGGGGTAGTCAATATGGGGTACAACACTTTAGGGTCTCCTACTTGTACTCCTCATGCTGCTCAATGCATCATTCCTTTCTCAGATTCTCACACCTGCTTGATCCTCCACATGCAAATGTTTCCAGCGTTACACCTGAAGACCGCGTTGACGTGAGGGTTATTCGCTCGGGACATTTATCTGGAAAAGGAGGTTAACATAAGAGTTAGTAAAACAACGCCTCAAGAAGCAGTAGCAGGTTTCTTCAGTTTGAGCAACACTAGTGAAGACGGCCGTTGAGGAGAGAGAGGAGGAGGAGGATGTAAATAACCCAATTCAGTACAGTCCGTTACCCGCGCTGGCTCGTCTAGAGTGCCTAGCAAAGGGAGGGGGAACGAGACAAACTCCATTGCCGTGCCACCACTCCTCTGCTCCAACGCACCGCCGTCTCTCCGTGCCCTTGTGACGCGCCGCAGCCCCGCCGCGCCACACCACGCCCGCTGGCCCTCCCCGAGGCGGCCCCCGGCCTGCGCAGGTGGGCGGCCGCCGCACCCCCGCCCCGCGCCGGGCCGCTCCCGCGAGCTCTCCATGGCGCGGCCCCCGGCCTCCGTGTGCGAGCGGACGCTGCGCCCTCGCCCTGCACCCACCAGCCCTACCTTCCGTAGGCAGGCGACCACCGCGCAGAGCCCACAGACCCTCAATGGCGCAGCCCCCGGCCTTTCGCGGGCGGGCGGCCTCCGCGCCCCCGCGCCACGCCCGCCGGCACCCCCCGGTGGCCACCGTACCCCGTGGCGGCCTGCATTGCGCCCGCCGGTCCTCCCCGGCGCGGTGTGCGGGCGACCGCTGCGCCCCCGCCCCGTCCCGTGCTGCGCCCGCGGGCCCTTCCCGGCGCGGCCCCCGGCCTCCGCGGGCGGGCGGGCGGCCGCCGCGCCGCGCCCGCCGGCCCTCCCCGGTGCGGCCCCCGGCCTCCGCGGGCGGGCGGGCGGGCAGGCGGCCACCGTGTCTCCTGCCCTGTCGTGCGCCAGGCGCGACCCCCGACCGTTGCTGGTAGGCGGGTGTCGCGCGCACGCGCCACGCAAATCGCAGCTTTCTTTGCACACCTGAAATCATGACCTACATATGCAATTCGGTTTACAATAGGGTTACCTTACTCTTTTCGACTGGACGCCATGCATATTCGGCTATGTCGAAATACCTAAAACCACAATCTTATATACACAAAGCAAAAGTTATAATCTCTACCGTTCAATACATAAGAAAAGGGAACACACAACAACAACAAACTACAATCAAACAATAACCTAGAGATTAATTATTAAAAAATTCAAACTTCACCGCTTTCAATTCTAAAAAGCTTGCTTTCTTTCATGTAGTAATGGCATTGCCTTTTTTTTTTAGTATTTTAAAATCCAAGGAAAATATCAGACTAATGTGCTAACACATTTCAAGGGTTACAAGGGTGGAAAAAGTGGCTCAACCGTTTGATAATGAGACGTGGGTGGAGGTAATAACCTCATGCCCACGTTTTGTACTAAATCGGGCGTTTGACGCGACTCAATATTGTCAGAGGTCCACTGGTGATCCCCGATTGATCCTAGGGAAGGGTTACAGGCACGTTGTCCTGGGGGGTTATGGGCGCACTGACCCGCTACTTAAACAAGCCCTTTTATCCCAATGGTCTAGTGGTTGGGATTCTGACATGGTATCAGAGCGAAGGTCTCGGGTTCGAATCCCGGTGTATGCACTTCGGGCATCCCAGTGCGGGGGGGTGTCAGAGGTCCACTGGTGATCTCCGATTGATCCTAGGGAAGGGTTACAGGCACGTTGTCCTGGGGGGTTATGGGCGCACTGACCCGCTACTTAAACAAGCCCTTTCATCCCAATGGTCTAGTGGTTGGGATTCTGACAAATATTGCCCATTCCTACATTCCAAACTGCTTCAGTTTCAAAATACGAGAATTTGAAAAGTGTTACCTTTTAGAAATAGTCATTTATATTTATTGTGGAAGCGAAGGGGATGCAATTTTTGTGCATCGTCGATAGGCGGTAATCGCCCTTCCCGAATATAACGTGTAGGTTGGAGATCATTCTTCCTCATTTTTTTAATTGCTCATACTTCATAAGTAAGATCAATGCTTATTGTTTCTTCTATCCCTACCCTCTTGCCCCATTTTGTTGTTCTCCTTCCATTCCCTCCCCCTGTTTCAGGTCATCGTGTTGCCTCGCTTATTCCCTCTGCTCATCTTCCGGCTGCCTCCGCTACTACGTGCTGTACATACCCGCCGGAAGGCGACCCCACAGCAGCCTCACCCCCTTAATATCGTAGATGCGAGAATAATATTTTCTTATATATTTCAACCCCAGATTCATCTTCGTGTAGGATTACGAGTGCTGAAATATACGAAGCTCCTTCTCACGGTAGCCGCTCACCCACACCCCCTCGCAGCATGCGGCTCCTTGCAAGTTGGTGAAGAGTAGAGAGTCAGGAGGGTAGGGCACGTTCGCTGGCTCTGCACCCGATCCTCTTTCGAAACCAAATGACGTGTTCTCATACACTTCCACCACTTTCCCATCAAGGATTATCACTACTAGATTTTTTTTTTTTTTTTGGGCTTTAAGGAGATCCCCGGAGGAAACCAACCCCCCGTAGGGAGAAGGCGCTTCGGTAAGCAGCATTATACCGGCTGTGCCTTTAGTGGCTAAAACTACCATCGATCACCATAAGCGCGTGCCCCGTTTCGGGGACAGCCGTACCCGGATGGGCGTTGGCTTCAGAGGGGAAGGTAACACGTAACCCCCACAGTCGGCTCTGGTGCCGGGGCATGTACCACTGGAGGTACCTCGCCGCCAAGACAAAGCCTGGCGTGGGTCCCCTAGTGGTTGTTCCCGACCCCGTCTGCCTCGTGTGCCTCCGGCGGCGGCCGCCTGCGACAAGTCGCGGTGTGGTCGAGCCTGAGACGGGTTGCGGTTGAGGCACCACCCACTTGGTGGCACCGGTATCCCCGCTCTTTAGCCCACCCATTAGGGCCGTTGCTGCGGAATTTCCCACACACTGGTCTGGATCATTTCTCTCCTCCCCCAGTGCAGTGAGGTACCGTCCGATTCCGAGTTCCTCGCGTTTGTCCGCTCCGACCGGACACTCCAGAAGCACATGCCTCTAGAAAGCGGTTCCCCGGTTAGGGCCACCACACAAGACACACCCGGCTCCGGTTCCGGGTTCCACCAGACCCGCAGCTTCTGCTCGGCACTCGGTCCATACGCCGGAGACCCTGGCCCTAACGAGCCAGGAGATCCCCTTAGATACGGACGGGTACCAGCATGCAGCCTTGAGATAGGTGGTGGTTTCCCCAAATCGGCAAGCCTGATAGGTGGCCATTGCCTTGGTCTTGAGTGTGGCGTCCCTCTCCAGGAAGTGGACGAGTATTCTGCGTTGTGTTTCGGCATCCTAGACGAGCCGGTGGCCTTTGCCAAACACCCGCCAAAGCAGGAGATAGCATCCGGTCAGCCACGTCCAGGTGCGGTCTGCAGCCAACCGCCGCCCCCACTCGAAGATGGATTGTACCAACGTGCTCGCACAGGGCCACTTGGCCAGGGCCCGCAAGCGGGCTCTAGCCGCTAGCGCCTGTAGCGGGTACAGGCCTAGCTCGTGCATCAGGGGACCGAGAGCTAATTGCTGGTTCCCACCGATCGTCTTTCGAAACCAAATGACTTGGTTGCTTCACTAAACCAACACCTTTCCTGCTTTTAGAAGGAGTTGTGTGCCAAGAATGAGAAGTGGTTGGACTAGCAAGATTGGGAGTACAAGTAGGAAAACCCTAGAATGTTGTACCCCCTAAGGCTAAACCCATAGTAGCCTACGGAACAGTAACATGTGCAATGTTTGACACACCCCCATAGGCTAAGTGGGGGAGAGCAAGGGGTCACAAGACTAGTCAAGAAAGACAAAGCAAGCTCAGGGTGGATCACAATGTCGACATACACTCTAAGCATAAGCAAGAGCCACACGACCAGTTCACATGCAGAGGCATATATGTAACACAAGCATCACAATGATCTATATCTAGCAAGCATGTAGATATATATATATATATATACATGGATCACAGTACAGGCAAAGTCTACAACAAGTGAGGAAAACTGGGCACAGGCCCTAGAAAAGTGTAGAAACGTTGATGATCACTAGACTGAAGAGCCTTGGTGAATATATCAGCAGTGTTGGCCTGAGTGGCCAGGTAACGCAGACGAAGCTGACCACGCTGCTGCAACTCTCGAGCCAGAAAGTAACGTAGATCGATGTGCTTCGTTCTGTGCTACAGTCTGTGCTCCTCACACAAGGCAATGGCAGCCTTGTTGTCGACGTACAGCACTGGAGGAGAACGAGGCCGCTCTCCCAGGTCGGTCAGCAGGTAGGTGAGCCGGCGTAACTTCTGTGCAACCATGGCTGTGGCGTAGATCTCAGCCTCACAACTGGAGGTGAGAACTAAAGACGAACGCGTAGAACGCCACAAAACTGAGCCAGAGCCAAGGCTGGAGGTGTAACCCTCTGACGACCGCCGAGTAGCCTGGTCGTCAACCAAAGAAGCGTCTGAGTGCCCAGTGAGAACAAATGAGCTCCTCCCTCCAAGCACAAGCCCCATGCCCAATGTACTGCACAAGTAGCGCAATACCCTCTTTGCAGCATTCCAATGCACCTTTCGGTGCCTACCAGGAGCCACGTAGCAAGCCAGAAGGCCAAGAGGGTACGCTAGGTCACGACGAGTGCAAGTCATCAGGTACATGAGGCAGCCAACTAGCTCTGGGTAAGGACCACTCGGCTCTACGGACTCATCCGAAGGCCGAGCTGAGAGCGAGTGACATGTAGCCAGAGGAATCGCCTGTGCTGAGGACCAGGTGAAGCCGAAGCGCTGAAGGACCTGCTGCACCATGTGTGACTGAGTCAGTGTGATGGTGTGGCGTGCTCTGTCCCGAGTGATCTGCAAGCCAAGGTAGCTGCGCAGTTCACCCAGGTATGTGCACATGTGTCTCTTCTACAGCTCCGACTTCAAGTGGGCGAGAGCCTTAGTGTTAGCAGAGGCAAAGACCAAGTCGTCGACGTACACGAGGATGTAGAACGGCGGCAGCGAATTTCGGTGCGCAGAAACAGCGACGGGTCAGCAGTAGAAGGCGCGAACCCAAGAGCCGCAAGCGTAGTCCTCAGAGTGTCGTGCCACTCACGTGGCGCCTGGCGGAGACTGTAGACCGGCTGCCGGAGGCTCCACTGGGTACCAGGAGGAAACGACCAAGTGAAGCCAGGAGGGTAGTCATCTCCTCGTGCAGGCTGCCCTACAAGAAAGCTGTGCTGAAGTCAAGAGAGTGAAGCTCGTAGTCACGCTGAGCGGCAACGTGCAGTAGCACCAGAAGAGTGGCCATCTTCGGGGTGGGGGAGAAGGTCTGAAAGAAGTCTACTCCCTCTCGGTGACTGAAGTTTCGAGCAACGTAACGAACCTTGAAGACAGGCGGAGAACCTGGCGGCCGCTTCACCCTGAAAATCCACATGCCACTGAGGATATTCGCCCCAAGAGGGGATCCTCGTCAACGTAAGTGCATGTGGACTTCCAGGATGCCATCTTTGTGTCCATGGCTGACTGCCACTTAGAGGAGTAGTCACCCGCGATCACCTCAGCGTAAGAGCGCGGGGTCGGGATGTCTGGTGCATCCGGGTCTCCCTGAGGTGCAATCAGCATGGACACGAGATGAGGTACAGCAGCGGCAAAGCACTCAAACTCCTTCTGCCTGTCCTCAAGGACGTCCGTGCCTAGAGCACTTTCACCCTCAACGGACGGAGGACAGACAGACTCTGACTCAGCAACAAGACTCACGGGGTAGTCTAGACGACAGCGAGCAGCAAATTCGACAAGCTCAGCAACTAAGGCGGACGCAGCAGCAGACTCAAACGTCGGGTCAGTGACAGCAGTGGCCAGGAGATGCGTGACAGTAGGACTAGCAGCACGAAGGGAGTCAGACTCTGGGTCAGCAAGGGCAGGAAGAGAGGACGCAGGAGGAGAAGGCAGAGGGACACGCTACGCAGCAGTGGAAAGACGAAGCGTCATCTGGTGAGTGCCTGGGACAGCAGGAGGACGCTGACGCGGGACACGACGACCAGTGCGAGCAGCATGAACAGGCGACGCAGAACAAGATTCACACGATACAGGTTGAGACTCAGGCTCACGACACTCCGTAAGACCTCCTGTCAGACCAGTGTAGGGAGAAGGACCAGGGAGGGGCGAGGTAGGCTTTAACTGTAACCGCGACTGGACAGGCTGAGGACACTCTAAGGAGGGAGCAGGACAAGGAGGAGGAGGCTAACCAAGAACCTGCTAAAGGAGCGGAACGTAGTACGGCCGCGGCCGTGAAGCGCCCCCAGAACCAGCTGAGACAGCACCTGAACCCCCAGCAACAGCTCTAACTCCTGTAGCACTACCAGCAGCTCCAACTCCAATACCCCCAGTAGTACCAGCTCCAGCCGCACCGTCGGCTCCAGCACCTGCAGGACCAACCCCACGGTCAGCACCTACACCAACTCCAGTAGGCCCAGCGTCCTCAGCTCTACCGGCAGCTCGAGCAGCGCCAGCACCTGGAGCTCCAACTCCAGCAATAGTAGCACCTCCAGTAGCACCAGCTCCAGAAGCTCCAGCTCCAGCTAAACCCCCAGTCCCAGCAGCTCCAGTACCGCCTGTACGAGCACCTCCAGGACCTGAGGCTCTTGTACCTGCAGTCGCACCAGGGCCTCTAGCGAGCGGCACCCCAGTGCTAGGAGTGTGGCTCCGGAGGCTGCATCGGCGAGCGTACCACTCACGCAGTCGCTGCGGGGAGGGAGGCGCCGGCTGCGACATAGTACCCGAAGCACCACCAGCTCTGACTCCGGCAGAACCCGCAGCTCCAGCAGCCCCACGCCGGAGGCAGTAACACTGAGAGTACCACTCACGCAGCTGTTGTGAAGAGGGAGCGTCACCAGGCGCAGGACGGTCAGTCTCAGCTCCCTCAGGCTCAGCACCCCAAGGCTCAGCACCCCCAGGCTCAGCACCCCCAGTCTCAGCACCCCCAGTCGCAGCACCCTCAGGCTCAGCACCCCCAGGCTCAGCACCCTCAGTCTTAGCACCCCCACGCTCAGCACCCCCAAACGCCATACCCCTCGCAGGACCAGAGTCGACAGCTACCTCGACAGGCTTGACCGGGTCTACCTGGGAAACACCTGAGGGAGCAGGACCCTGGGGAGGTAGGGGGTCTACCGAAGTAGCACTTGGCGTGAGGAAGAGCGGCGGGGGGGGGGGGGGGGGGGGGGGAAGCGGCGCAGTACGGTAGGGGAACAGACGGTAGAAGGGTACCGACTCATCAAAACTGACGTCCTTGGAGGGGAAGACACGTCATGAGGTGGGGTGGTAGAACAGCCAGCCAGGCGCGTAAGGGACAAAGCCAAGAAAGACGCAGGGAACGGCACGGGTGGAGAGCTTGTCCGCGGACGTATCGCGGACAAAGGCTCGACATCCCCAGACTCGGAACACCGACGCATCGCCAACCTCCCCGTCCAACGCAGTCTGGGCGAGGTCTCCGGAGTAGAGACACGAGGCCAGAGGTTGAGCTGATGCGCAGCGTACTGTACTGCAAACGACCACCGAAAATGGGGGGCAGCCGCATGGATCATGGAGGTACGAGCGACCTCCATGACTAAGCCAAAGCGGCGCTCAGCAATCCCGTTCTGCTGTGGGGAGGTCGGAAGAGTGAACGTCTGGCGGATGCTGTGCTCCGCACAGTAGGCTGCCAAGAGGCCGGAGGAAAACTCACCACCCCTGTCAGAGTGCAGACGCAGGACTGGAAAGTCCGACTGGAACTGCTCGCGGAGCTAGAGACGAGCAGCGCGGATCTAAGGGATAAAAAAATCAGGGACTTCTCCCTTGGTGCGCAAGGGGAAGACCGTGGTGTAGCGCGTGTAGTCGTCGACGACCAGCAAGAAGTACCGCTCGTGGCCCTGTCCACGGACGCGGGCTGGGCCCCACACGTCCAAGTGAAGAGTCTGTTGAGGAGCCTCTGTAGGAGGGAACGAGGAGGAGTGAGGAGTGGCGTGCTGCCGCCCCTCGACACAGGGAAGACAGGGAGGAGCAGGTGAGGGTGGGAGAGGAGGGAGAACCCTGGGAAGACCAGAGACAAGGTACCGGAAGTGCATTCCACGAAGGCCCTGCACTGAAGGGTGACCAAGGCGGTGGTGCCAGAGGACGGTCTAGTGCGACAGGGTGCGACACGAGTAGGGGGCTGACAGCTGACCCGACGCAGACGCAGACGAAGCTACCTGAGGGGACTCAGTGGTCAGTGTGTACAGGTCTGACCCCGGCTGCCGAGTAAAGGTAGCCAGGAGGCGACCCGTTCGAGCACACGTACAGTGGGTCACACGCTCATAGGCAGGGGTGAGCTGGTGAACACCCCCGTCCTGGAGAGCAGAGCCCGCCACCAAGTTCGTGGAGAACGAGGGGAGGTAAAGACCCGACAGGGTGCCGGCCGGAACCGCTGGACAAGGGAGGACAGCGGAGGAGGTCACAAGGACTGGGCCCCCAGAGGGGTCAGCGAGAGAGACAACAACTGGCCAAGCTAGCTGCTCAAGGACAGTGCGGTCACGAAAGAAACATCGGGAAGCACCCGAGTCCAGGGTGAAGGTGTGTAGTGCCTCAGTAGACGTAGTAGCACATGGAGCAGCAGACTCACTAGCACCTAGAGCAGCAGCCTCACCAGGACCTAGGGCAGTAGACGCACTAGCACCTAGAGCAGCTGTCTCACTGGTCCCAATACCCGGGCCGGGCGGTACACTCAGGTAGCAGTCACCCTCAACACTAATAGTCAATGCATACATAGCAGCAAGGATAGCATCAAAATCAAGAGCAAAGATATCAATTCCCTTCTTAAGCAGATCAGCCCAGCGGGGCAGCTCAGAGGCGTCAGAGAACTGCTCGCGCCAGGCGTCGTCGAGGCAAAAGAAACAGCGCTGCGCCGTGTGAAACCTCCCAAAGGTCTGGCCAGTGCGGTCACCTGTGCGGATGATGTACGGGCAGGTACCTCCACCCCCAGACCCCCCACGCTGAGAGTAGCACTCACGGAGCTGCTGGGACGACGGGGTCTTGTTGGGACGCTGCTGCTGCTGCCTCTGGCCACCTCCAATCCCCCCACGCTGCACCGCTCCACCACGCCCGCCACCGGCTCCACTGCTGCCACCACTGCCATCACCACCCCCGCCACCCCCACCACTGCCGCCGCCACCACCCCCGGCTCCGCCACCGACCCCCCACCACCAATACCACTCCCACCACCGCAACCGCCCCCGCCGCCTCCACCCTCTCCACCACCGCCGCCCCCGCCGCCACCACTGCCACCCCTGCCCCCTTGCCCCTGCAGCCCTTGCGCCTCCCACTAGGAGTAGACGCAGCCCCGACCCCCTCAGCACCGAGGTAGTAGACAGCAGCAGCAGATGCAGTGGAGGGGAGGAGGGGGATGGGGGAGCACCCCTCAAAGAAGGGAGTGCGAGGGTCGCCACGAGAGGCACCTACAGCTATAATGCTCTTCTCGGCTGCTAGGAGCTCCTTCTCGAGCAGGTCGACAGTGAGGTCGGTAGGGGAGAGGGCGAGAAAGTGGTCCCTGACAGTACGAAGGGAGTCAGGGAGGCGGGTGACTAGGTGATAGAGTGTGAGGTACATCGGGTGAGGGTTCTTGGCTAGGAAATCGGGGGGAAGCACGGCACGGTAGCGAAGATCACTAGTACAGAGGTGCGTGATGAGGTCAGATACTGTAGCAAAAGCTGACAGATCGGGGAAGAGATAGGGCAGGGAGAGACGGCCTGTCGCAGTAGTAGCAGGGGAGGAGTAGCGTGCAACTACAGCGTCGTACAACTCCTTTGCGGACTTATGCTGGCCAAAGTGCTCGCGCTTATCTAACGGTAGGTGGCTGCGAACGGCTAGGCGAGCATGAGCATCACGGGTCTGCCACTGTGAGCGAGCAGTGCTGTCATCAGTAGCAGCAGGTGCGGGAGCGGCGCCAGACGTGTGGTCAAACAGGGAAACATCGTCCTTGGTAGTGATCTGGAGGAACAGGTGTAGGTCATCGAGCCAAACGTCAAACTTAATTTGACAGCCCTCAGAGTCAAACGTGAGAACGGTAGGGCTAGCCATAGTGGCAGTAGCAGTAGCAGGAGTAGCACTAGCAGTAGTAGCAGTAGCAAAAGTAACAAAAGTAGTAGCAGTAGCAGTAGGAGCAGTAAGAGCAGTTGCTGCAGGTGGGGCGGCACGGCTCGGTCAGGGCGGCGCGACTCGGGCGGCGCGGCTCGGGTAGGTAGGGTGGCGTGACGGCGGGCCTATGCTCGGTGCGCGGCAGCGCCTAGGCTGCAGCTGCGCGCGGGCCGCGGCTGCGTTCGTGCGGCGGCTAAGCGCTAGCTGCAGCAGCTGACGCGCGATCGCCGCTGCGCTCGGGCTGCGACTTGCGAGCAGGCTGCGGTGGGTCGAGCGTCGGCCTAGGGGCGGGCGGGGCCTACGGGCAACGGCCTGCTGAGGCTCGCGAGAAAAAAAAAATCGGGCCGCCCTAGGCGGCGAATTTCCTACTCGCGCTAAAAACGCGGGGCCGCGCTCGGGCTGCTAGCGAGCTGCAAAACGAGCAGCGTGAGAGGAGGGCGCACGAGGGCGCACTAGGAGAGAGGCGCTCGAGGGCGCTAAGACAGTAGGGCGCACGAGGGCACCTGTAGCGGATCGGTGGGCCCTTAGGTAATCGGTCCTAGGTCCCTAACCTAGGCTCTTAATACCATGTTGAGAATGAGAAGTCGTTGGACTAGCAAGATTGGGAGTACGAGTAGGAAAACACTAGAATGTTGTACCCCCAAAGGCTAAACCCACTGTAGCCTACAGATCAGTAACATGTGCAATGTTTGACATTGTGATCACGGAGGCGGGGCATTTTCCAACCCGGGCTTGCTCCTTTGACATAAGTACGTCCCTATACTTTGAAGAGGGTATATTTTCTGAGGCGAAAGGCGGGAGATAAACCCCGAGTACTTGTGCAAGGTGAAGCAGCCTTGCTAGTTAATGGGAAATGACGTCGTGATTTACCTTGGTTAATCACGTGATCAGTCGTGTGTAGCGTTCGTGGAGGCATAGAGCAGGGAGCTTCTGTTCGGAGCTTACCAATATGTGTGGTAATAAAATTAATTGCGTTAAATATTCATATGAGTGGTACTAAGAATAAGCGCGCTAATTACCAATAAGAGTGGTACTATTTGTAAGTGCATTACTTAGCGATACGAATGGTACTAAGAGCATGTACATTACTTAGCACTATGAGTGGTACTAAGGGTAAGTGCGAATTTTAGTTGTATGAGTGATACTAATAGTGAGTGCGTTATTTAATGATATGAGTGGTTCTACGAGTATGTTTGTTACTAAGCCAAATGACTGGTATTAAGAGTATGTGTGATACTTAGCCATATGAGAGGTTCAAAGAGTAAGTGCGATACTTGTTAGAATATATAACTAACTGCCTGTAGCTTTAGTTTAGTGTAGTTATTATAAACTGTTGGTGGTGCACCTTCTTTGTATGCTCTGTTTGCTATATGTACCCTAGTGCTATAGTGAACACCATTCCCATTCTCGACTTCCTCTCTTGGCACAACTTTCTCGACTCCCCCTTGGCCTAGGCTACCAAGCCTAGGCCCTACACCTAACTTCTGCTTATGCCACTATTCTCAACATGGCATTAGAGCCTGATACGTCCTGGCCTGTGGGCCTGCCTCAAGCTTCCGCTGCTGTTTTTCCGGTCGCGCGCCGCGGGCGCGTGGCGAATTTCCTTTTGTCCCGCGCCCGGGTGGCGCGTGACGTTTTACCTGCTCGTCGTGCGCCCCGTGGCATGCAACGGTGCCCTGAACAGCCCGTCGCGTGCCCCGTGGTGCGCGACGGTGCCCTGAGCCGTCGCGGAACCTCCCCTGGCGCTCGCGACGGTTCCCTGAGCCGCCACGGACCCGCCCCTGGCGCCCGCGACGGTGACCTGAGCCGCCGCGGACCCGCCTCTCGCGCCCGCGACGGTGCCCTGAGCCCCCGCGGAACCGCCCCTGGCGCTCGCGACGGTGTCCTGAGCCGCCGCGGACCCGCCCCTGGCGCCCGCGGCGGTGCCCCTGCCTCACCCGCGCCTGCACTCGCTGCAGCCGCCCCTGCACCACCCAGCGCCTGCCCTTGGAGCAGCCGCCCCCGCTCTTGCACTCGGTGCAGCCGCCTCTGCCTCACCCCGCGCCTGCACTCGCTGTAGCCGCCCCTGACCTACCCGCGCCGACCCTCTGTAGCCGCTCTGCGGCTTTCTCCCCGCCCACCCCCTCCTCCTTCGTCTCCTTGCAGCCGTAGGGGGGAGGGTATGGGGGTGGCGGGTGTGGGGGTGATGGGTGGTGTGCTTCCCTTCCCCTCCTCCTCCTTTCGTTCCCACTGCTGCAGCTGCCGCTGGGGGGGAGGGTGTGAGGGTGTGGGGGAGCCGGGGGAGTGGCACTGGGGTGGCGGGTGTGAGACCAACCAGCAGCCGTCCCTCCACCTCTCCTCTCTTCCCCCCTCTGCTGCTCCTGCAGCAGTGTGGGGGGGAGGGTGAGGGGATGGAGGGGGTGACCAGCCAGAGCCAGCCCGCCTCCTCTCTCTCCCTGCTGCCCCTCCTGTGGTCGGGGGGGGGGGGAAGAGAGTAAGGGGGTGGCAGGAATGTCTTGCTGTCGCCCGTCCCTTTACTGCTGTACCTGCTCTGTTACCGTGCCTGCTGTTGCTGTTGCTGGTGTACCCCTGCAGGTTGTGTTCTGCACAAACTCTTGCTGCATGCAGCTATGGGGGAGTGTTAGAATATATATGTAACTGCCTATAGCTGTAGTTTAGTGTAGTTATTATAAACTATTGGTGGTGCACCTTCTTTGCATGCTCTGTTTGCTATATGTACCCTAGTGCTATAGTGAACACCATTCCCATTCTCGACTTCCACTCTTGGCACAACTTTCTCGACTCCCCCTTGGCCTAGGCTACCAAGCCTAGGCCCTAAACCTAACTTCTACCTATGCCACTATTCTCAACAATATTTATTTGTATGGGTGGTACTAAGATTAACTGCGTTACTTAGTAATATGAGTAGTAAGGGCTTTCCTAAGCCATATGAATGATACCACGAGTAAGTGTGTTAATTAGACATATGAGTGATTGCATTACTTAACGACATGAGTGTTGAGAATAGAACGAGAATGAATGAACTATGAATGAAGTGAGTACAAATGGGAAACCCTAACTGGGTTGTACCCCCTATGGGATACCCCACTACAGCCTACACAATAGTATAAGCTATATATATGTTCTGACACACCCCCATAGGCAAAGTGGGGGAGAACAAGGGGTCACAAGACCAGTCAAGCAAGACAAAGCAAAGCTCAGGGTGGATCACAAAGTCACCACACAGTCCGAGCACAAGAGCAAGGCCAAAGGCCAGTTCACATGCAAGAGTACAGACATATATATAAAGCTAGACAAGCAAGAGCAGGTATATATATGTCACAGTACAAGTAAAGTCAAGAGGAGAGCAAGTGAGGCAAGACAGGCACAAGACCCAGCTGGGTGCAGAAGCGCTGATGGTCACAAGGCGCAAGTGCGGAGGGCGGAGTCCAGTGGTCACTGCGTTCACTCTCTCGACTTCAGCACTGCGTTCTTGCAGGGTAGCCTACACGAGGAGATCTTGCTGCGCCGTCCACCTGGCTTCACTGGGACTTTCCCTCCTGGCACCCAGTGGAGCCTCCGACGGCCACTCTACAGTCTCCGCCAGGCACCGCGTGAGTGGCACGACACACTGAGGACTACGCTTGCGGCTCTTGGGTTTGCCCCTTCTACTGCTGACCCGTTGCTGTTTCTGCTGGGGCGGAGGGATGTCCCGCGAACGCTGCTGCTGCTGCTGCTGCGGGCGCTGACCACCACCACCGCCGCTCCGCTGCTGGGTACCACCCCGACCAGCTCCACCCCCTCCGCCACCACCGCCTCCTCCTCCGCCCCCTCCACCGCCTCCACCGCCACCGCTGCCGCCACCACCACCGCTGCCGCCACCTCCGCCGCCTCCGCCGCCGCTGCCACCACTACCACCACCACCCCCTCCACCACTCCCGCCGCCACCCCCACTCCCTCCGCCGCCTCCACCGCTACCTCCACCGCCCCCTCCAGCTCCACCCGCGCCCTTGCCCCCCTTGCCCTTGCCAGAGCGGCGTCGCCCACTAGGGGCAGACGCCGCGCCGACCGACTCAAGACCAAGCAGGTCGGCAGCAGCAGCAGAGGCAACAGAGGGCAGTAGGGGGGAAGAAGAGCACCCCTCAAAGATGGGGGTGCGAGGGTCACCCCGAGAAGCTCCTACAGCGACGATGCTCTTCTCCGCCGCGAGGAGGGCCTTCTCGAGGAGGTCGACAGTGAGGGCGGTGGGATAGACTGCGAGAAAGTGGTCCCTGACTACGCGAAGAGAGTCGGGGAGGCGCGCGACTACGTAGTAGAGAGTGATGTACATGGGGGGGGGGTTCTTGGCGCAGAACTCAGCAGGAAGGGCGGCGCGGTAGCGAGTGTCACTAGTGCGGAGGTGCGTAATGAGGTCAGCGATAGTGGGAAAGGCAGAGAGGTCAGGAAAGAGGTAGGGAAGAATGAGACGGCTCAGTGCAGCAGTGGCAGGGGAAGAGTAGCGCGCAACTACAGCGTCGTACAAGGTCTGAGCACTCTTGTACTGACTAAAGTGCGCGCGCTCAGAGGTAGGGAGGTGGCGACGCACAGCAAGACGTGTAGCAGCATCGCGGGTAGCCCACTGAGAGCGCACAGTGGGATCAGCATCAGCAGTAGGGGCAGGAGAGGCGCCAGAAGTGAGGTCAAAGAGAGAAAGGCCGTCTGCTCTATCGCACTGCAAGAACAGCTGCAAGTCGTCGACCCAGACCTCAAAGTCAATGGCGCGACCCTCAGCGTCAAAAGCGAGGACACTAGGGGTAGCCATGACACCAGTAGACGGTCTCACCAGACAGGACGGGTCGGGCAGCGCAGTAGCACAGCAGCACAGCAACACAGCAGCTCAACCAGCTCAGCAGCAACAGCAGCCTCGGGCGGCCCAGCCCAGTACTGCTCGGAGAATAGCTCGTCGGCTTGCACCCAGCACTCAGCACGCCGGTCACCGCACCTGCCATGCAAGAGGTTATGGCACCTACTGTTGGTTGCAAATTCACATTGCACGACATCCTGCCGTCTGTTTGTACGAGTATGCGTGTACGAATGCATTTGGGTGTGAATGAAGTGTTCGAGTGTTTATTTGCTTTCGCAATTTTTGCTTGAAGCATTTGCAAGTACTCACGCGTTGTACGCTTCGGCACAACATTGTACGCGCTATGAACAGTGCCAGCAGAAAGGACGAGCTCGCAAAGGAACCCAAGATGGAAGCTTTGCAGTTCGGTCGAATTGATTGGTTAACTATAGTGTAGCAAAGCAGGCACTATAGGGGTACAATTTAGGTGAAGGTTGGATATTGTTTGTGTTGGGTGCAGATTCATTTTGCACAACAGGTTGTTGTTGTTGTTGGGTGCAGATTTACATTGCACCTGAATCTGGTTGTTGTTTTCCCAGGTTGGAAAAACAGAACCAGAAGTTGTTTTCCAACCTACCACCTGCTGTTTTGTCCAGCCAGGTTGGTTCTATTGCTTGGAATTATTTGGGATCATCCCTGGTTGTTCCCAGGTTGATTCCTAAGGTCCTTTCTAGCTAGAACTATTTATTCCTTCTCTGTTTGTACCTGAATATAGTCAATTTGATTCAAGCGAATTCCTCCCTTACTGGAATTTCGTTTCTACGCGGTTCAACGGCGTAATGCTACCCGAGTCAACGCTAGTACGCTAGCACTCCAACACTAGGCAAACGCTGTCCGAGCCATAACTTCGTAATGGCAGAACTTTTCGCGAGGCAACTTGGTTCATTTTAAAGCTCTTGATCCCTCTTGATCCCTCTCTCTACAAACTCGGACCAAAGGATAGGGGCTGGTCTTGTACCAGGCACCCAAAGACCCTTGGAGGTGACCCCGAAGAGAGGTTTTAAGTTTGATAAAGTCTTAATAGCTTGAGTTTATTAGGCCCTTACACCAACAAGCTGGTATCAGAGCTGCTTTATAGTGATCCTCGTTATAGGTAGCTATGGCGGGCAACACCTCGGCGGTAGCTGGTGAATCTTCAGCCCAAGATCGTAGCGGCAGCCAAGATACTGGTGTTTCTGCGCCAAGAGGAGCACGAACAAGCCAGGGCTTGCTGATCAAGGAGGTGCTGAAAAACTTCACTGTCGAGAAGTTCAATGGTGAGGGCTATGATGATTGGGCCTGGACAATGCAACTTTATTTCCGTCAGATCGGTTTGCTGAAACCATTGATTGGGGAGGATGTTGGTTTTAGGGCCTAATAAACTCAAGCTATTAAGACTTTATCTCACTTAAAACCTCTCCTCGGGGTCACCTCCAAGGGTCCTTGGGTGCCTGGTACAAGACCAGCACCTATCCTCGGGTCCGAGTTTGTAGAGAGAGGGATCAAGAGGGACTAAATCAAAACAGCAAGAGTACCTTGAACGTCGCGCAGCGTATCGTACAGACCGTAGATCGGATTAAGCCGAGACTTTCCTATATCGAAGCTGACTCTAAGAACTTTAAAATAAGCCAAGTTGCCTCGCGAAAAGTTCTGCCATTACGAAGTTATGGCTCGGACAGCGTTAGCCTAGCGTTGGAGTGCTAGCGTACTAGCGTTGACTCGGGTAGCATTCCGCCGTCGCACCGCGTAGAAACGAAATTCCAGGAAGGGAGGAATTCGCTTGAATAAATTTCACTATATTCAGGTACAAACAGAGAAGGAATAAATAGCTCTAGCTAGCAAGGACCTTGGGAATCAACCTGGGAACAACCAGGGATGATCCCAAATAATTCCAAGCAACAGAACCAGCCTGGCTGGACAAAATAGCAGGTGGTAGGTTGGTGAACAACCTCTGGTTCTGTTTTTCCAACCTGGGAAAACAACAACCAGGTTCAGGTCCTAAAAACAGAACCTGTTTTGTCTTTGCCCAACCAGCCAAATGCTGGTTCTGCTGGTTTCCCCTGGCCCTGTAGCATGCAGATACAGACAAACAACATCCAACCTTCACCTAAATTGTACCCCTATAGTGCCTGCCCTGCTACACTATAGTGAACCAAACAAAAAAGTACAATTTCGAGTTGGATAGAACTGAATCTGCGCAATCAAGTAAGCCGAACCGCAAAGCTTCTATCTTGGGTTCCTTTGCGAGCTCGTCCTTTCTGCTTGTACTGTTCATAGCGCGTACAATGTTATGCCGAAGCGCACATTGTGCGAGTACCTGCAAATGCAAGCGAAAATTGCGAAAGCAAACAAACACACGAACATACTATTCACGCGCAAATGCATTCGCACACGCATACTCGTACAAACAGACGGCAGGATGTCGTGCAATGTGAATTTGCACCCAACAGAGGATCCTAGACCGAGTGACCCAGCCCTACAGGAAGATTGGGACGAGCGCGCCTCGGCTGGCAACTATTTGATGTCGCAGAGTTTGGAGCTGAACCAGCGTCACCACGTCATGCACCTGCTGCCGGAGGTTGAGTGCAGTCCGAAGGCGTGGACGGTGTTAAAGGAGCTGCACACCCCTACCTTCGTCGCTGCGACGCTCATGATGGAGAGGGAGCTGTCCGCGTTGCGCCTAAGCGAGGGAGAGCCGGTGCAACCTATCCTGGACGAGATGCGTGATCTCTACGCGAAGCTGGCGATCGCGGGAATCACCTACCCTGAGCAGACAAAGTGCCTGAAGATGCTCTCGGTGCTGCCGGAATCGTGGTTTCAATTCACGAGCGGATTGAGCTTGCCGCAGAACCAGAGCTTGTGGACGCTCGAGTGGGTGCGGACGAAGATTCAGGAGGAGAGGCAGCTGCAGAGGGTGGTGAGGGAAAGAAGCCGAAAGGTGTCGTTATGAAGGGATGGGAGACCTTCAGGCCAGGACGTACCCGTATGGCTACTAAAAAGCTGACTGCAGGAGCTAATATAGCAGAGCAGTAGCTTGGGACTGAGGAGGCATTGCTGATTCTACCGCATGGCTATGACCCGGATGAGGAGGATGAGCCTGCGTACTGTTTTCTTGCCCCTGCACCAGAGGAACCAGCTAGCAGAGAGGAGGCATTAGCTGGACCAGATAGGGACAAATGGCTGGCTTCTAGGGATGCTGAGTACCAGAGCCTGCTGGAGAATGGGACTTGGGAACTAGTGGTGCTGCCTGAGGGAAAGAAAGCGGTACAATGCAAGTGGGTGCTAACGATCAAGACTGACGACAAGGGGCACGTCACCATCTACAAGTGTAGGTTGGTGGCTAAGGGGTTTATGCATAAGGAGAAGCGGGACTTCAATGAGATATTTGCTCCCACTGCCAAACCCCCTACCCTTCATGTCTTGTTGGCAGATGCAGCCGTTAGTGGGAAGTTCTGTTGGATGCAAATTCAAATTGCACTACATCCTGCTGTCTGTTTATACGAGTATGTGTGTGCGATTGCATTTGCGTATGAATGGTATGTTCGTGTGTTTGTTTGCTTTCGCAATTTTCGCTTGAAGCATTTGCAGGTACTCGCACAATGTGCGCTTTGGCACATTATTGTACGCGCTATGAACAGTACAAGCAGAAAGGACGAGCTCGCAAAGGAACCCAAGATGGAAGCTTTGCGGTTCGGCTTAGTTGATTGCGCAGATTCAGTTCTATCCAACTCGAAATTGTACTGTTTTGTTTGGTTGACTATAGTGTAGCAGGGCAGGCACTATAGGGGTACAATTTAGGTGAAGGTTGGATGTTGTTTGTCTGTATCTGCATGCTACAGGGCCAGGGGAAACCAGCGGAACCAGCATTTGGCTGGTTGGGCAAAGACAAAACAGGTTCAGTTTTTAGGACCTGAACCTGGTTGTTGTTTTCCCAGGTTGGAAAAACAGAACCAGAGGTTGTTCACCAACCTACCACCTGCTATTTTATCCAGCCAGGTTGGTTCTGTTGCTTGGAATTATTTGGGATGATCCCTGGTTGTTCCCGGGTTGATTCCCAAGGTCCTTGCTAGCTAGAGCTATTGATTCCTTCTCTGTTTGTACCTGAATATAGTGAAATTGATTCAAGCGAATTCCTCCCTTCTTGGAATTTCGTTTCTACGCGGTGCAACGGCGGAATGCTACCCGAGTCAACGCTAGTACGCTATCACTCCAACGCTAGGCTAACGCTATCCGAGCCATAACTTCGTAATGGCAACTTGGCCTATTTTAAAGCTCTTAGATGAGCTTCAATATAGGAAATTCTCATCTTAATCCGATTTACGGTCTGCACGATACGCAGCGCGATGTTCAAGGTACTCTTGCTGTTTTGACTAAGTCCCTCTTGATCCCTCTCTCTACAAACTCGGACCCGATAATAGGGGCTGGTCTTGTACCAGGCACCCAAGGACCCTTGGAGGTGACCCCGAGGAGAGGTTTTAAGTTTGATAAAGTCTTAATAGCTTGAGTTTATTAGGCCCTTACACCAACAAGCTGGTATCAGAGCTGCGTTATAGTGATCCTCGATATAGGTAGCTATGGCGGGCAACACCTCGGCGGTAGCTGGTGAATCTTCAGCCCAAGATCGTAGCGGCAGCCATGATTCTGGTGTTTCTGCGCCAAGGGGAGCGCGAACAAGCCAGGGCTCGCTGATCAAGGAGGTGCTGAAAAACTTCACCGTCGAGAAGTTCAATGGTGAGGGCTATGATGATTGGGCCTAGAAAATGCAACTTTATTTCCGTCAAATCGGATTGCTGAAACTAATGATTGGGGAGGAGCCTAGACCGAGTGACCCCGCCCTTCAGGAAGATTGGGACGAGCGCGCCTCGGCTGGCTAGTACTTGATGTCGCAGAGTTTGGAGCTGAACCAGCGTCACCACGTCATGCACCTGCTGCCGGAGGTT